GATCCTAAGTAACTTTCTTAGGTGAACGAACAGTGGAATCCAAACTTAGAATCCCTGACCTGGAACACGCCGTGCTGCACTGTGATGGGTCACGAACGGGCACAGGCATAAGCTGAGGAAAGGAGACAGCCCTCCCTGTGGCAGGGCACACCGTGCTGTGAATACGGTTGGTGCTTCAAAGATGCTCATAAAATAAAACTTGGAAATAATAAAACTATTAGAAGATATGGCTTGTATGTTGTATTTAAGACTGAACTGAGAGCTTCATTAGCTTTGCAAGCAAGGAAGATAGTGCCTTTCCTAAGGCAGAAGCCTCGTTACTCTGAAGGCTGCTCTACTAAGCCTGGCTTGGGGGGCTGCCGTCAGCTGTGGGGGGCTCTAGGTCTTTCTCCTTCGACAGTTCAGCAGCCAAAAGAGTGTTATTTGGAAAACCACTGCCCCTCCAAGTCTCAAATGTCCTGCCTCCTGCCCACCCAGTGCTCAGTAGCTCACAGCATTCTGCTAATGGATTGTGTGTGTCTCTTTGGGGCCTAAAGGAACAGAGAACTTCATCAAACATGCCTTGCACAGATCTGAGGATAAAATCCTTGATTTGCATTCATGCGAAGCAGGCTCTCGACAAGGAGGCATCCAGGACCTTGGCACACGCCGCTTGCCCTGTGGGGAAAAGAGCTGCGTAGAAAAGTCATTTTTTCCTGTGAGCAGGATGGGTGAGGAGGGAGAGGTATGAGTGCAAGCACAAACATCTGGGAAACATCGAGTCCAATCAAGGGCCAGCCCAGCAGTAAAAGCAACAGGAGAGCAGAGGGTGAGCCGCTCTCTGACCAGGCTGCAATCCCTGTCTGCAGAGGGGAATTCTGAGTTTAGCGTTAGCAATGGAAATAAGCTCTGATCTCACTCAGCCTCCAAGCCAGGAACAAGCGATGCCCACCTCCAAGCCCAGCCCTCTCTGATGCACAGCTCCAGCTGTCATTAGGAAGCAGCATCCACAGAGACCTGCGGAAAGCAGAGGAGGCCACTCGTGGGTGGGATGACTTCAGAAGAGCAGGGTCCAAGGGAGGTGGGCTCCTGACTTCCCATGAGTGCCCCAATCCCACAGGTAGTTAGAGATTTATTACTTTAGCTCAGAGTTTTGTGTTTCCCTTTGAGAAACAGACATGCAGTTAGTCAAGTAGTCACATTAGTTGCGTTACATAGAATTCTCCAGAGAGAACCAATAGGATATATATATAATTGAGGGAATATGTACTATATACATATATATGCACACATACGCCCCACATATATGTATATGTGTGTGTGTGTGTGTGTGTGTGTGCGTGTGTATGCATGTATGGAGAAAGAGAGAGAGAAAGAAAAAGGAATTATTTTAAAGTCATCTCATGCAATTGTGGGAGCTGGCACGTCTGAAATCCATGGACTGGCCAACAGCCTGGGAAGGCAGGTAAGATTCGATATGGACTTCTTAAGTCCAAAATCCTCAGGGCAGCAAGAAACTCAGGCAGGATTTCTCTGCTGCAATCTTGAGGCAAAATTTCTTCTTCTTTGGGAAACCTCAGTCTTGTGAGACCTTTGATGAATTAAGTGATGTTCATCCACGTTACGATAGGTAATCTGGTTTACTTAATGTCTTATAATTTCAATGTTATTCACTTTCACAAAATACTAACACCTCCCCAGCAACATTTATTTATTTATTTATTTATTTATTTATTTATTTATTTATTTATTTATTTTGAGATGGAGTTTCGCTCTTGTTACCCAGGCTGGAGTGCAATGGCGCGATCTCGGCTCACCGCAACCTCCGCCTCCTGGGTTCAGGCAATTCTCCTGCCTCAGCCTCCTGAGTAGCTGGGATTACAGGCACGCATCACCATGCCCAGCTAATTTTTTGTATTTCTAGTAGAGACGGGGTTTCACCATGACCAGGATGGTCTCGATTTCTTGACCTCGTGATCCACCTGCCTCAGCCTCCCAAAGTGCTGAGGTTTGACCAATCAGCTGATCATCACAGCTGAGCCAAGTTCTTATAAAATTAACCATCATACCAGTCACCATGCTTGGACAGATTCTCTCCTGAGAGCTAGTTTAAGGAAAGGAGGGTTCAGATTAACTGAGTGTCCCGGCAGCCCAGCCAAGAAGGGAGAGGGGCACGAATCGCATAGGAGGTATAACACCTTCTGCAAAGTAGTCTAGCAAAGAGGCAGAAAATTATATAAAATATGTCATAATACACGCATGCATGTTTGTGTGTATATCCATGTGTATGTATGGGTATGGTATGTATGTGTGTGTATGCATGCATGTGCATATGTCAACTTAGACAACAGACAAAGGGTCTCTAAGAAAAAAAAATTGTTTATTTGGGAATAAAGCATTCTAAGGGGAATATGCACACCATAGTAAACTATGTGCCTATTCAGGGAAATAACAAAAGATGGGGGGGGGGGATTAAAGAAAAAACAAATTACACAATTGCTTTGGAGTAATTATCCTTGGCTACAAAGATCAGTAGCAAGGGCGTTCCCAGTGCAAGGTGGGACAGGCAGTTGCTGGGCAGAAGTTCTTGCAGAAGTACTTTTTTTTTTTTTTTGGCAAGATTGAGATGCCTTTGTGCAAGGTGTGAGGTTTTTGTAGCCATTTTGTTATCAGGCGTGTAGTGTGAGCACTCTCTCTTTCTTCATGATGTCACTGCCTCTATTGGTAAGGGTTTTCTTAATGTTAATGACTCAGACTAAATTTTGATCTTGAGAAATTTCACATACTTGCACATGAATATATCTATGCACATATATGTGTGTGTGTGTCACCTAACAAATTTCAGGGAATGCAGAGAGCAGAGGAACATTTCAGCTGCACCACAGAAATGCAATCAGGAAACTGGAAACTGTACAAATTCTGCAGGCCAAGTAACAAATTTCTTCAAAGACAAAATAGCTAGGAAAAAAGAGTTCAGAAATAATTTATAGGAGTTTTAAAGACATATCAAGTAATCAATATCTTGGAACTAATTTGGATTCTGATACACATAGACTCTAAACAACAAGGAAGCACAATAATGAAACTACTGGAAATATGAACACTGGATATTCACTGGTATGAAAGAATCATTTATTTTAAATATGATTATATGATTATTTTTAAATTCATCTTTACAGACAAATCTGGAATATTTGCTTCAAATTAATAAACAAATGGGCAAGTAGAATGGAGGTCGCCTAGGACAGGACTGGCCACAGTGTCCAAGTTGTTGGCACAGGATAATGGTATATTGAAGTTTAGTATGCCAGTCTGCCTATTGTCATGCATGTTTGGATTCTTCCATAACAAAGTATGTTTATATATAAATGTACTGTGTGTATACACATATGTGCATTGTGTTTATATATATATAAATGCACTGTGTGTACACACATATGTACATTGTGTTTATATATATACAAATGTACTGTGTGTATACACATATGTACATTGTGTTTATATATATATATGCACTGTGTGTATACACATATGTACATTGTGTTTATATATATATAAATGCACTGTGTGTATACACATATGTACATTGTGTTTATATATATATATGCACTGTGTGTATACACATATGTACATTGTGTTTATATATATATGCACTGTGTGTATACACATATGTACATTGTGTTTATATATATATATGCACTGTGTGTATACACATATGTACATTGTGTTTATATATATATATGCACTGTGTGTATACACATATGTACATTGTGTTTATATATATATATGTACTGTGTGTATACACATATGTACATTGTGTTTATATATATATAAATGCACTGTGTGTACACACATATGTACATTGTGTTTATATATATAAAATGTACTGTGTGTATACACATATGTACATTGTGTTTATATATACATATGTACTGTGTGTATACACATATGTACATTGTGTTTATATATATATATGCACTGTGTGTATACACATATGTACATTGTGTTTATATATATATAAATGCACTGTGTGTATACACATATGTACATTGTGTTTATATATATATGCACTGTGTGTATACACATATGTACATTGTGTTTATATATATATAAATGCACTGTGTGTATACACATATGTACATTGTGTTTATATATATATATGCACTGTGTGTATACACATATGTACATTGTGTTTATATATATATATGTACTGTGTGTATACACATATGTACATTGTGTTTATATATATATATGCACTGTGTGTATACACATATGTACATTGTGTTTATATATATATATGCACTGTGTGTATACACATATGTACATTGTGTTTATATATATATGTACTGTGTGTATACACATATGTACATTGTGTTTATATATATATAAATGCACTGTGTGTACACACATATGTACATTGTGTTTATATATATAAAATGTACTGTGTGTATACACATATGTACATTGTGTTTATATATATACATATGTACTGTGTGTATACACATATGTACATTGTGTTTATATATATATATGCACTGTGTGTATACACATATGTACATTGTGTTTATATATATATAAATGTACTGTGTGTATACACATATGTACATTGTGTTTATATATATATAAATGTACTGTGTGTATACACATATGTACATTGTGTTTATATATATATATGCACTGTGTGTTTACAAATACATACCCACACACACATAGACACACATGTAAACTAATCTATATTATTTACATGCTGCGTGTACTGTGCATTATACCCAATACTACTATATGTGATCTATGTGAACCATTATGTAATGTATGCAATACACTAATACTGTGTGATGCTGTGGTTGTATAACAACAGCAATGCTCATCTCCACTGATAGGGCAGGAATTGGTACAGAGATTTTGGTTAGTGATTCTTATAATGACCAGAAGGGATTTCACTCATTAAAGTTTCAACAGAAGATGCCAGACACAAGAGGTCATGTTATATTATCTAATTTATATGAAATCCAAGAAGATACCTAGACAGGTAATGCAGGTTGGAGATGTAAGGAAGTTTCCAAGATGCTTCTGCTGATCTTTACTGACCCGGGTGGATGTTACCAGAGGATGCTCATTCTGTGAAACAGGAACATGTGCATGGTGATCCACATATGTTATGCTTTAATAAGATACTTAAATATCATTCTCTTATTGATGTACAAAGAACAAATATTCAGATGATACTACTACATCTAACTAGAACTGCTCAGGTCCCCTGATTTGTAGTTACTTAATTCAGATGCTGGCTTGTACCCACCTATGTTCCCACCAACAGTGCACAAGCCTCGTACAGCTTTGCCAACATGTGCTGTCGGTTGTCTTTCGACAGCCACCATCCTAACAGGTGTGAAGTGGTGTCTTGCTGTGGCTTTGACTTATATTTCTTTATTAGTAATTTTGGGCATCTTTCTACAGACCTGCTGCCCATTTGTATGTCTTCTTTGGAGACTATTTTGAATCCAATTATTATTCTTTTTGCTATTGAGTTGTGTGATTTCTGTATATATTTTGGATATTAATTTCTTATTAGATATATGATTTGCAGATACTTTCTCTCAATCTGTAAGCTGTCTTGTGATGGTTGATTTTTTTTTTTTTTTTTTTGCAGTGGAGCAGCTTTTCAGCTTCATGTAGTTCCACTTTATTTTTGTTCCCTGAGCCTCTGGTGTCATTTAAAAAAAAAAAGTCCTTACTGATGGCTGCCAGTGTCAAGGAGCTTCATCCCTATGCTTTCTTCTAGGAGTTTTATTTTTTCAGGCCTTGAGGTCAAGATCTTTAATCTATTTAGAGTTGATTCTGTGTATGGTGTAGAATAAAGGCCCAATTTAATTTTTTTTTTTTTTTGCACATGAAAATCATTTCCCCAGCATTGTTTTTTGAAGAGACTATTATTTTCCCATTTGTATTCTTTGTGGAATTGTCAAAAATTAGTTGACTGTATGGTTTATTTCTGGGTTTTCTACTCTGTTTTATTGGTCTATGTGTCTAAAACATTACCCTACTCTTAGTACCACACTGTTTTTGATTACTATAGCTTTGTAATATAATTTGGAATCAGCACATGTAATGCCTCCAACTTTTTGTTTGTTTGTTTTCTTTTCCTCAAAATAACTTTGGCTATTTAGAAACTTTTGGTTCCATTTAAATTTTAGATATTTTCTATTTATGTGAAAAACACCATTGGAATTTTATTAGGGATTTGGGGATTGGTACAGCCATTATGGAAAACAGCATGGAGATTCTCAAAAAAGTAAAATGAGAACTACAATATGATACAACAATTTCTCTGCTGCATATATACACGAAGAAAAATTAAACCACCATCTTGGAGAGTGGTCTTCATTCTCCTATTCATTCCCCCATTATTCACAGTAGCCAAGACAGACAAACAACCTAAGTGTCCGTCAACAGATGAAGGGATAGAGAAATGGTGATATATGAATGAACACCATGGAACACTATGCAGCCTTGCTAAAGAAGCAGATCCTGCCATTTGTGACAACATGGATGAATATGGATGACGCTGTGCTAAGGGACATAAGCCAGATATAGGAATAAAAGTGCCACATAATCTCACTTAAATGTGAATCTAAAAAAAAAGAATAAAACAGTGGTAACCAGGGGCATGGAAGAGGAGGAAATGAAGGCATGCAAATCAGAAGGTACAACCCTTTCAATTACAGTGGATCTAACGCACATCCCAAGGACTATGGTAAATAATATGTTGTGTATTGGAAACTTGATAAGAGAATGATTTCAGGTGCTCTTACCACAAAAAACGGGGATAGTGACGAAAGGTGGTGTATAGGTTAATCTGGTTAACTGTAGCAACCATTTCACTGTGAGTCTGTAGACCTGAACAGCAGGTTCTACTTAAATACATACCATTTTAAAACCCTTACTTATAAATGACTCACAAAGACTTTTCATAATATCAGCTGAGTTAGTCTTTGTACAGTTGTTCCTAAAGTTATAAATTGCTATACAAATTCAAGCTATTATTGTCATATCTATTAATTCAAGGTTTTTGTAAATAATATATTTATAAATGAATTTATTTTAGTTTGTTAAAAAGGAACAAATTTCAATTTCAAAAAATGAATGGAATTAGAAGTTTCATGGAGAAGTTTTTAGGCATCTTGGTTTAGATGGCTCCTCTTCAATGAATCTTTTCACATCTAGATGCTTGCCCTTTCAAATTTGTAATGTAAGAGCCATGGATTTATTCTGAGAATGAAATAAGATAATGTATGAGAAAGCATCTGAATTCTGCCTGGCACTGGAATGGAAAACTATACATATTTTAAGACAAAACAAAAGTTTAGCTCCATCCCTCGGGGATGGTTCATGGGGAAGCTGAGGCAGGGAGGTGCATAAGGAGTCTTTGATCTTCTGTATGACGCTGGTCCATTTCTGTCATCCAGAAGAAGCAGGGCAGTGTTGACAGAATGTTAGTGCATGGCCTGTTGGCTTCAACGTTGTGTCACTCACGTCACTGTGCAACTTAGAAAGTCCTTTCGTTTTTGAGACGAAGTCGTGATCTGCTGTCCAGGCTGGAGTGCAGTGGCTGATGATGGCTCACTGTTACCTCGAACTTCCGGGCTCAAATGATCCTCCTGCCTTGGCTTCCCAATAAAGTAATGTTTTATTAATACTATTTTTGGTTGACAAATAAATAATTGCATGCATTTATGAAGTACAATGTGATTTTTTGATACACGGAAATAATGTAAACTACTAAATCAAGTGAATTAGCATATTTCTCATCTTGCTTACTTATTAATTTTTGTGGTGAGACCTTGAAGTTGATTCTCTCAGTTACTCTGAAACAACAATGCGTTATTGTTGACTATAGTCAACTTGCTGTGCAACAGACCTGAAAACTTATTTCTCTTGTCTAGCTGAAACTGTTCCCTGTCACCTACATCTCCCCGATCTCTCTCCTCTCCCCTATCCCTAGAGGACCCTCACTTTACTAGGAGTTCAACTGTTTAAAATTCCACATATAAGTGTGATTATATGGTACTATATTTGTCTTTCTGTGTTTGGCCTCAAAAAATAAAAAAATAGAACTACCATATTGTCCAGCAATCCCACTTCTGGGTATACATCCAAAGGAATTGAAATCAACATGACAAAGGAATACTTAGACTCCCACGGTCATTGTAGAACTAGCCAAGTGCTTTGTCAGCAAGCAAGATATGGAATAAAGAAACCGTGGCACATATACACAACGGTACACTAGTCTCCCTTGAAAACGAAGAACATTCTGTCATTTGCAAAAACATGAATGAACCTGGAGGAGCATATGCTAAGTAGAAAGTCATTTAGGAGGAACAATAGTGTTTTGTGTTTGTTTTGATTTTGTCCTTGCAGGAAAGGGTCAGTTGCTGGAAACAAGAGCGAGGTAAAAGAGGAGCGTGCACTGTGGACATTCTCTCCATGTGGCTCAGCTGTTCCTCCAGGGCGGACATTAGGGTTGATGACCAGGAGAGGCTTGCATGCTCATGGAACCCCATGACCCCCGTCAGTAGCTCTGGGGATGGGAAGTGCTCCAGGAAGCTTTTCTGTCCTGGGATGAACATGGACTGGCCCAGAAATGTTTTCAAGGATTTTGTGGGACTCGAGGGGGAAGATAGATGAAGGCCTCTCTGAAGGCCCTGTCACTACAAGCTGAGGACCACCTTGGGCGAAGACCAGCCCTGACGCCAGCTCTGAACTCCATTACAGCCAAGTGGATTTTTCCCATCTCGAGGCCCTTGGTTGTTTTTCTTAACTTTTTTTTATTTCCAACCTACCTCTAGGTTTCCAGTGGCCTCCTTCAAATTGGTGAGCACCCCTCCCAGTGCAGAGCACGCACCCTTGCTTCTGCCCCAGAGGCAGCCTCTCCCCAGTAAGCCAAAGCCAGGGACACCCTCTGGATCCCTCATGCTCTCCCTGAGATGGACACTGTGCCAAGGCGGGTGCCAGCCTCACCGATTTCTCCATGTAAACAAACACTCCTAAAATTATTGGAAAATTGTTCCTCACACCTTTTATTTTTTAGTAAAAATGTCATAGAAAAAATGTGTGGCTTTCATGCTGTATCCAAGGAAAAGACATTTGGGTTCCTTATTTTCCTTACCAGATGCCTGAATTTTCTAACAACTCACATTACAGGCAGGGGGTTAGTTGGCAGTCAACATACACGCCTGGCTAAAAGCAATTAACTACCTTGTAGACATTTTTCTTTAGTTAGAAAATTCAGAGAGCAGATCTTCACATTTTTATGAACATATGTAATAGTCTCACTTCATCTTATTTATTTTTATATGTTGATACTGTCAAAATAAAAAAAATCCTCTATTTTTATAATCTGTATGTAAAGGCCATGCATGGCAAGCAGGTGCAGCAATGTCTGTGTACAGCAGACAGCATGTCCCCAAACCAGCCCATAGCTTTGGCCGGCTCCCTGCAGCTGAGCCCCAGACAATGAGTGCCCAATGCTTTTCACCCCCTAATGGTGGAACTAATGAAAATCTCCCACAAGGCCCTTGGCACATTGTCCCTTTCTGTAATGACCTTGGAGACTCTTGTCCTTGGATGATGGTGGACCCTCAAGACAGCTCCTGTCCTGAGTCACTGCAGGGAGGATGAGGCCTGCCCACCTGCATCCTTGTGGATAAGAAAGAAACTGTTTCTTTAGAAGCCAGGGAGGTCTTAGGCTTTTTTTGTTTTATGTCTACCAGTACTGTGGGATGAAAATGCATTCTATTTATAAATAAGTTCAAATTTGATTTTCAAGAGCTTCAGACAGGAACACCTGAAGAGCGGGAATCTCTCGATGTTGGCATCAGGTGTGCACGTGTGTGCTTGAATCCAGACAGAACGCTGATGCAGGGCCAGGCAGTGTCCTGGGGAAGCGATTTAGCTCTGCCCTTCAGAACAGCCATGACCATATGATTGTCACTGTTTGAGATGTGTCATGAGAACTCAGTGAGGTGACACCCGTAAAGTTTTTCTATAACCCTCTAATTCAGTAGCTGTGAAATTAATCTTTTTACTCTGTTATCTTTCACTTTCTCTGCCAGAAAAAAAAAGTCCATCTCCTGAAACAGATTATTGGAAAGAGATGCTTGGTGCCACAAACAAAAATTAGCACTGAGACAAGGAATCTCTTATCACTGAAAGTTTTGCTCCCTGAGCTGCAGAAAGCACACTCTCACTAGCCACCTTGCCACAAGAATACAATGAAGTACAATGAACAACGGAAAAATAGACAAATTTATCCCTCATGCATTTGGGGTCATCTTTACTGCTGTTTCCGATGTCCGTTGGCTGGAGCCAGATCTCACAATCTAAACTAAAACCCAATTGGCTAATAACTTAAAACTTTTCTAAACAGGTAAAAGTAATGAAGAGCTGGGACACACCTGTGAGCACATCCAGCACAGATATCTTGGTGAAAAGTACAAGGACATAGAATGTACTACATGCCTGTAAGCACGGCATGTCTGACAGCTACATAGGACAGAGCTTAACAAAGAGTGATTAGCACACTTATGATTTATTCTTTAACAAGAAAGGAAACTTTAAAAAGGAACTTTTCTACTCCCTACAGAGATCAAGGATGTCATCAGTGCAGCTTCTCTCTTTTAATGATTTGTCAGTATCTTAGAAACACAGAGAAGATGCAGAATGTCTCTATAAGGTCTCTTCCTTGGTGGCTCGTGTGCTTGTCCTCTGTTCCGGGATAAATACCACTTTCTTCAAATCTTAGTTTGGACATCATCCTTCTGAGCCCGTGAGCCGGGGCCTTGGTTCACCATGCTACACCTGCTCCCGCAGCAGCCCCCGCCTGCTCTGGCTTTTACTCACTACCCTGCTGCGAGTTCGCCCACAGCGTTGAGGATCCCTGCACTGAGCTTCGGCCCAGAGGAGAGCCCTTCCTCTCAACATCCTCGCTTCATCCCAGCCCCTGCCACCTGGACAGGGTTTCAGGTGAGAGGAGTAAAGGAGGAAATGGAAAAAGCAGCATCTGGTGCAGATACACTCTCCTTGACCACGTGTGTCTGCAGTGCCATCGTCTAACAGGCACTGTCTTCCAGTGTTGTTTAAATCATGATAGTGGGCTCGTTTCTACAACACTAAAGGGCGTATTTGTTAAAACTGCTTAAAAGTAGTAGAAGGCTTTACTGGCTTTCTTGGTGTGCGTAAAGCATGCTATTTCCACCCTAACCCATGTTACGAGTTGTCTGTGATGTTATTTTTCTTGAAAGTGCAAACAGAACGTTCTAACTGGTTTCTTGCTCTTATTTGGTTTAAGCTGCAGCTGCTTATTCACACATGTGCCAGCGATAGTCAGTGAAGCCATTGCTTTCAGAAGAGCATACACGAATGCACGGACCAACGACCAAACCCCTTCTATCGGAGCACCTAACTTCCTGCAAAAACACATTTCAGGATGGATTTCAGAGCATAATGAGGGAGAGTTGCTCAATACCCCACTCTGACAGTAATCTGCAAATTAAAAGATTTAAAGGTGTCGAAGTCACCTCCCAGGGAGGTGTTTCAAGCCACTGGCACCACCGCCAGGCATCAGTGCATACGGACGAAGTGGCCTCTGTCATTGAGAACATTGTGCAATCTGCTGACATGCGCCACCTTATACACAAAGTGGTCCGATCACGTGAGGCTGCACTGGATCTTGCAGACAAAGGTTTTCTCTGTATTATGGTAAGTTGCTAATACAACAGCAATGCCAATCTGACAGGTCTCCGGACCTTCATTTGGGACATCACCACTGTTGTGCTGTGTAGCATAAACACCCTGGAGAGGCACTTCGTCTACTCAAGCAAAGACGAAAGATCTCAGTAGTGACAGGACACGCCTGATGCTGACTCTTCTCTTTCCAGAACACACGCCCCAGCTCTGCTCCTTTGTCCTGAGGGTCTAACCTAGCATTTTTCTACTGTTAGGGAAAGCAAACTTTATCAAATGACTCAGCCCCTAGATGTTGGAGGGCCTGGATGTGGCAACCCCTTGACAGATGGTGTTGCCCAGGGGGCAGTAGCCAGGGGACTGTGAGGTGATGCCACCAGCTGGGGCCGAAAATACTATGAGCGTGTGTGCACTGGCACTCTCCAAATGTTGCACACCAAACTTGTAAATGCCCCATGCATTTGGACGCAGCCAGATGTCCAAACAGCTGATGCACAAATGGGTTTCCGTATTACTTCTCGGCCTGCAACTTGAACATGAGAAGGGCTGGAGGCATGGAGCCCATCTTCTTGCCTGTCAGGCTGCCATCATGAATCTCTGTCATCTCTGGCCTTGGATTCAACTACATACAAGACATTCAAAAGTCCTGGCCAATGGGATACTCATGCCTGTCACTCTGACAGGCATTACACGCATATACAGGGAGAGCTGGGAGAGGAGATGATTCTCCACCTGCCTCTTATGCTTCTGCACATCTTTCCAGGAGAGACACTGGCTGCTTTTCATTTCAGATCATCTTTTTGAGGCTGTCTGCATAGCAAACCACCTTACAGTATAGAGAAGTTGTCTCCCTAAGAGCAGAGGGCAGGCCTACTTCTGCCCAGGAGGATAAGAGAATGTTTTCCTTCCATGTGACACAGCAGGTGAATCACGTTGTTTGATATCTAATTTTTTTTTTGCAAATTAAATCTATTAACCACATCAGTAATTCCTAGTAAAAGTTTCCTAAAGGTAACAATTACCTTTTTTTTTTTTTTTTTTTTTTGAGGTGGAGTATCGCTCTGTCACCCAGGCTGGAGTGTAGTGCACCATCTCAGCTCACTGCAACATTTGACTCTCGGGCTCAAGCAATTCTCCTTCCTCGGCCTCCCAAGAAGCTAGGATCACAGGCGTGCACCACCCTGCCCGCTAATTTTTGTATTTTAGTAGGGACTGGATTTCACCACATTGACCAGGCTGGTCTCAAATTCCTGACCTCAGGTGATCTGCCCACCTCGGCCTCCCAAGTGCTTGGATTACAGATGTGAACCATCACACTCAGCCTAAAAAAAAAATCTTTCTGTCAATAAAAAGCTCAATTACTTTGCAAATACCCACTGCAACAATGAATCCAAAGCCTCGGGGCTGAGCTCTGCTCACTGGTCCCAGCTCCGTGCACAGCTGGGAAGCAGGGAAATCCTTCTAAGGCTTTGGAATGAAAGGGGAGGAAAAGTGAGTTTGGGAAGGACAAGAATTTTCCACGCAAACATTGTTGTTACCCGGTGTGGTGAAGTGGCTAGGCCATGAGGCACAGAAAAAATGGATTTTGTGTGAGAACTGTGTGTGCACGATTCTGGGGTGCTAGGAATTGTTTCCTAGATCTAAACAGTTTAATTTAATCACCTCTTCTGGCACAGCAGCTCTTCAGTTCAGCAATGGAGGGTATAATTTGAGTAGGAAAGAATATTGTTATAAGTAAATCTCAGACTAGAGACATACCCCATTTGGTAGAGTATGATGAGGAAACCGAGGCAGGCTTCCTGGCTTCCTGAACAGAAGGGCTGACACAGAAACCACGTTTTCTGTGGCGATGGCCTTGCCGCGTCACCGCACCGGGCAACAACCATGCTCGCGTGGAAAATTGTCCTTCCCAAACTCACTCCCATTCCCGTTTAATCTCATGGTCTTAGAAAGATTTTCCTGCTTCCCAGCCGCGCAAAGAGCTGGGACCAGTGAGCAGAGCTCAGCAGCGAGGCTCTGGATTCACGGCTGCAGTGTGTATTTGAGAAGTAATTGATTTCCACAGTCGGTGTGAACTGAGTTCACACCGTGTATAGACTTCACCGTACGTGTCAGACGCAGAGCCAGGCAGGTGCAGTGGGTCCCAGGCCACAGCAGCGGAACGGAGGAGGCGGCGCGGCGCGGCCCTGCCCAGCTGCTCACTATCCAAATAGTAATAAGAAGTGCTACTCTCTGAACTATAAACAAAACAAATGCCACATGCCTTATTGAGTCGGCACGCGATAGTAATAATCCGTTTTCTCTCACTTTGTAAAAATCATTCCATGCCCCTGTGAGATCCTTGAAAGCAAGGCTAACCTGCACTCACGTGTCTAACCGTTTTCTTGAAACGGACCACTGAGTGGGACGCGTGCACTATTTGGGAACACGTCGCTGCGCCCCCACAGTCCCTGCACAGGCAGGGGCGCCTCGGGTGAGGCAGGGGCGCGGTGAGTGGAACCCGGGTCTTCACTCTGCACTGACCTCTGTGCGCAGCGGCTGCCGGTGCGTCTCGGAGCTCCCCCGCCGCGGACCAGCCGTCCAGTGGGTCACGGGGGGCGCCCCGGCCTCTCCCGGCCTCTCCCGGCCTCTCCCGGCCCAGGGCTTCCCTGTGGGGATGCTGTGACCACGTGGGCTGCGGCTGCTTCTCCTCCATCTGCAGTTGCGGGTGCTCCTGGGTGCACTCTTCAAAGGCCTCTCTGAAGGCCACCCAGGAGCCCTTTCTCTCGCCTACCAGGCACCCCCAAGTCCCATCGCAGCCCCCCTTCCTTGGCTGGGACCTCTTCTCAGGAAAAGCTCGTGTTTTTCCCCAGCTTCAGTCCACTCCCGAGGCGTTGGGTCCCTCCCCTCTGGAGACAGCGCCCACGCGTCTGTCCAGTCTCCAAGGCCTGGGGACACCCGGGGACTCTCTTGCCCTGAGGGTCCCAGGCCAGGAGGGCGGCCTTTGTTCCCCCAAACCCGGCGACAGGTGCTGTGCTGCCACCTAGGGGCCGCTCCGCGCACTGCAGGCCAGCCGGCCCGCAGTCCCCAGATGCTGACAACCCGGTTTCTGTTGTGCTGTTTTGCTGCTCAATGTTTTAATTTAATTTTTGTGGGTACATAGTAATAGCATATATTTTATAGAGTATCCGAGATGTTTTGATACAGGCATGCAATGTGTTCTCATCACGTGAAACATGGGGTACCCTTCCCCTCAAGCATCCATGCTTTCTGTTACAAACAATCCGGTTACACTCTTTCAGCTGTTTTGAAATGCACAGTTGAATCACTGTTGGCTGTAGTCACCGTGCTGTGCTAGCAAACACTGCATCTTATTCAGTGCTAACCATCCGGGCTGTCAGAGGGGAAGGAATGCTTTAGCGGAGGGATTAGAGGTGAGCCCGTGTTTGCCACAGCCTTCCCCCTGCAGAGCCATTTGTAAATGCTGGCCTAGAGCCACTCGAAGCGCGCAGGTAGACCTGGGAGCATCACCCATGGGCTGGGAGCACTACGGTGGGGACCTGCAGTCCAGAACAGCCATGGTGGTGCAGGGAGGCCCTGCACTTCAGGAGGAGCTGGTTGTGACCCAGGCCAGCAGTGGAGTGGTGGCCAGAGAGCCAGGCACCCAGAGGACTGAGAAAGTCACTAGAGGCAAGAAAGGAGAAGTGAATTGACAGCTTCAAAAGAAAGGTTAGAACGAAGTGGGAAGTACCAGAAGAGGGAAGGCATCCCTGGGGCTTGAGGGATAGACAGACCTTGTAAGCCAAAGCTGTTTTCATGGTATCTGGGATATTTTTTTAAAATCAGAGTGGGATGCACAGACACGGAAAAGATTGTCATGAAGAAAGAAGTTTATCCTCACAGATCCGTGGACAGAGGAGGCACACCTGACCACCCAGAGATGCACAGCCAGGCAGGTGGCCAAGGGGGTGAGGGGAGTGTGTACCAGGGAAGGCTAAGATCAGCTAACCTGAATCATTTTTGCAGGCTCGGGGTCATGAGGCTGACCCTCATTGTCTGATCCCTGGCCTGGGGTGACTTGGGCAGGTGCATGGTGGCCTGGAGTGTGAGGGCAACAGAGAAGGTTGCTGGAGTGTGGACTAGAGGTGGTTGGTTTGATTTGGAAAGCACAGCGCTTGGTTCTAAGAACCAGCTCATTCTGACAAGGGCAGTTCCTCTAGGGTCAGCAAGACCCCATATATCCAAGCACCAGAATTCAGAAAATAAAAGAATTCATTAATACAAAAGACGACATGGAGGCATGGTCAGAAGCCGTGCCTGGGCCCAGACTGCCAGCCTCTTCTTGTCCAGGTCTCTGTACCTAGTCTTCCTTAGCAGGCACTCATGGAATCTACTTTTGAGAAGAAGGGGACTGGGCTTTGAGCACTGAAGAACGAATGCTCAAGGCAGGACATACTGCCTCTGACAGGAGGAGACACCTGCATCTTCTCAGAAGTTCAGACCTAAGGAGAGTTTCAAGCGTTTCAGGATTACAAACAGTGTTCCCCTAAATAAGACTTACCATAAATAACAGATGAACAAAATAATCAGTCCATGAACCTCTGAACATCTGCCCTGAAAGAAGGGAGAGGATGGCACTGACTGCCACCTCGATCCAGCTGCCCAGGCCAGAGATAAGTTAACACAAACACAGAAACATCAGAGTAACAGGGACTGAATTTGGCATATTTGCAAGTCTTTTTCCACATGGCAACCACAGGAAAGGCAACTCAAGCCAATTTATACAATAATATTATGTATAGATCCAAACCTTCATGGCGGCACGTAGATGCTGGACCCTAGAAATCGTTTTACCAGGAGTCAGAATTCCCAGCCATTGTCCAAGGTCTGAGATCCTGAAGTTTCCTCACCCTAGTGTTTCAGAGAGTGGACAAAAAGAGCGTCAGTTGCTTAGCCTTCCCTTTTTCTTTGGCATTGGATTATTTCCTGTTTTCATAATTACATATATTTCTGCATACATTATTTCCGTATGTATATTTTGTACTCAAATATATACACAAACATACAAGCATTATACAGGTACCATAGGTATGATGTATTCCAACAGTACTGATAATCATGAATGTGTGTATACATTAGAGATATCAGCTTGTGGGAATGAGCATTTATGAGAAAAATCTCCTGAAATGAAATTGTCCTCTCCAGCAGCAGTTGCTCATGAATGCTTCCTCCTATACAGTCCTCTCCAGCATGGGTACTCATGAGTTCATCTTTCCTGTAGAGTCCCCCAGCACTAGGTGTTCACGAGTCCCTCCTCCCTCCTGAGTCCTCTCCAGCACTGGGTACTCACGAGTCCATCCTCCCTCCAGAGTCCTCTTCAGCACTGGGTACTCATGAGTTAATCCTTCCTGTAGAGTCCTCTCAAGCACTGGGTACTCATAAGTCCATCATTTTGCAGAGTCTTCTTCAGCCATGGTTACTCACAAGTCCATCCTTCTTGCAGAGTCCTCCCCAGCACTGGTGGTTACTCAGGAGTCCATCCTTCTTGCAGAGTCCTCCCCAGCACTGGTGGTTACTCAGGAGTCCATCCTTCTTGCAGAGTCCTCCCCAGCACTGGTGGTTACTCACGAGTCCATCCTTCTTGCAGAGTCCTCCCCAGCACTGGATACTCATAAGTCCATCATTTTGCAGAGTCTTCTTCAGCCATGGTTACTCACGAGTCCATCCTTCTTGCAGAGTCCTCCCCAGCACTGGATACTCATAAGTCCATCATTTTGCAGAGTCTTGTTCAGCCATGGTTACTCATGAGTCCATCCTTCTTGCAGAGTCCTCCCCAGCACTGGTGGTTACTCAGGAGTCCATTCTTTCCGTAGAGTCCTCTCCAACACTGGTTACTTGAGTTCATCTTTCCTGTAGAGTCCGCTGCAGCATTGAGTACTCATCAATCCATTTTTCCTACAGAATCCTCTTCAACACTAGGTACTCATGAGTCCATCCTCCCTCCAGCATCCTCCTCAACACTAGGTACTCAGGAGTCCATCCTCCCTCCAGAGTCTTCCCCAGCACTAGGTACTCACAAGTCCATCCTCCCTTCAGCATTCTCCCCAGCACTGAGTACTTAGGAGTCCATCCTCCCTCCAGAGTGGTCTCCAGCACTGGGTACTCACAAGTCCATTTTTCCTGCAGAGTCCTCTCCAGCACTAGGTGCTCATGAGCCCATTCTCCCTTCAGAGTCCTGCCCCGCACCTCCTTCCTACATTTCCCTAGATCACCACCTGCTGCTGTCCTAGGTCAGGACCCATGCGGGCCTCTGAGAGGATCCTATCACATTGAGTATTTTCTATTTTATAAAATTATTAGGCTTACTAATTGCTATTTCTAGAAGTATGCGTCTGTTATTTACAATGTTGCATGTTCAGTCTGTGAGCGTGCAGTGCTTGGCATATAGCATTTGCTATGCTCTCTGTGCTGGTGGGTGCTGATCCAAGTAGTTGCCATTTGTTAACTCTTTTCTTCCCCTTACAGATCCATGTGATGGGTCCTTTTGTCTTGATTTACAAATGAGAGAGAGAGTGAAAGTGCAGAGAAATCAGGGAGCTTGCACAAGGACTGCTGCTGGCATCAGGCCACGGCTCCCAAGCCCACACGCTTCGTCGCTGACCTGCGCTGCATAAGTCACTGGTTAGACACATTTTGCAACCCTCAGTTACTGGAAAAGTTTTGATTCAGTGAAATGTGTGGAGATGTTCTTAAGTTAATTATAAAAGTTATTTAATAGAAATATAAAGCTATTTCTACCCCTACAGAAAATAGTTCTGGAATTTGTTATCTTATTAAACGGATGTAACCCCATTTTTTGTTGAAGAGCTGAGGCTCTTAGCTCTTACCTATTGAGTGACTTCGGGAAAGTTACTTTACTTTTCCGTGCTTAATTTTCTCTTCTCTAAAACAGAAAAAAAAAATACTCTGAGGCAGGATGATCACTTCAACCCACTGAACCCAGAAGGTGGAAGTTGCAGTGAGCGGAGATTGTGCCACTGCACTCCAGGCTGAGCAACAGAGCTAGACTCCATCTAAAAATAATAAATGGGCCGGGCGCGGTGGCTCACGCCTGTAATCCCAGCACTTTGGGAGGCCGAGGCGGGTGGATCACAAGGTCAAGAGATTGAGACCATCCCGGTCAACATGGTGAAACCCTGTCTCTACTAAAAATACAAAAAATTAGCTGGGCATGGTGGGGCGTGCCTATAATCCCAGCTACTCAGGAGGCTGAGGCAGGAGAATTGCCTGAACCCAGGAGGCGGAGGTTGCGGTGAGCCGAGATCGCGCCATTGCACTCCAGCCTGGGTAACAAGAGTGAAACTCCGTCTCAAAATAATAATAATAATTAATTAATTAAATAAATAAGAACCTACTCCAGGAGTTTTTTGGGAAGAATAAATGAGTAAGTACCCTTAAAAGTTTGGCTAAATGCATGGCATATCGTAAACGCTCATTAAGCATTAGTGTGTTTGATGGACTCTAGGTTCCAGCGTACAGCATCATAGTCATGATAATTAGCTACACAGTTTACACAGGACCTGTAATATCTACGTCGTGCAGCATCACTTTTTCCAATCAACTGAGAAGGAAACTGGTTCAAGGGAGTTAATAATCTGGCTAATATCACAAACCTATTACTACACAAAGGGAATAGAAACAAAATACAGACTTCTCCTCGCTCCAGTGTCATGGCCTAAGAGATTAGACATGCAGAAAGTGTTCGGTTGGTTTCCACTTTTTCTTTTCTTTTAGGAATGCCAATCTTTTAGGGTCTAGCTGCCTGTATAGATCTCCATAAACAGCCTTCAGGCCTGAAAGACAGCAGTGAGCGCAGAGCAGGACCCGGGCATGGAACCTGGTGTTTCTCCAGCTGGGCAGCCCAAGCATCAGCCTCTCTACCTTTACCAGAGCCCATTCACACTGTTCTGAACACAAACCCGTGCTGGACACCTGCAGCGTCCAGAAGGTACAGTGTCCCAGGCTTCCTGACCTTCTG